TGTTAACAGTGATATTAACAATGGTAACTGTTTTTGTCGAATTGTACTTGTGTTATTATATTGTCTATGTCTTTATGTCATTTCCATAATTCAGTTTGTTTGTTCTTGTGAGTCGGGGTATTAATAAATAAATAAATAAATAAATAAATAAATAAATAAATAAATAAATAAAATATTATTTTTGCCCATCCTGCTTTCGCTCAAGTTAATTAAAAGAAATGTATTTCATTGTTTTCAATCTACTTTCCATTGTGTTCTACCCAGAAACGCTAAGAACAGTTTCATTAGCATTATTTCCCTAAGATTTTAGAATAAATTTCATTTCTGTTCTTTGCATTTTTACTAAATCTGAATAACTAAGCTCACCGGCGTAGTTTATATATAGTGACGGTCATACTACACTATTACATAGTGATAAACAATAATACACCATGTTACCATGGTTTAGTGAGACTGGAACTAATTTGTCAAATTTCTCAGATACCGTCACGTGATAGAGTGGGTATGCTTAGACAGGTTAGGGTAATTCAGATACTGTGATAGAGTGGGTGTGCTTAGACAGGTTAGGATAATCCATATACCGCGATGGAATGGGTATGCTTAGACAGGTTAGGGTATCCAGATGCCGTGATAGAGTAGGTATGCTTAGACAGGTTAGGGTAATCCAGATATCGTGATAGACTGGGTATGCTTAGACAGGTTAGGGTAATCCAGATATCGTGATAGACTGGGTATGCTTAGACAGGTTAGGGTAATCCAGATACCGTGATAGAGTGGGTATGCTTAGACAGGTTAGGGTAATCCATATACCGTGATAGAGTGGGTATGCTTAGACAGGTGATAGAGTGGGTATGCTTAGACAGGTTAAGGTGCGACATCAGTGGACGAAAGCCACTTAACGTAAACCTAGCGCAACACTTTTGAAAGAAATAGATTCCGGACCAGACCATGATCACCGAGGCGGATTTTAAGAGAGAGAGAGAGACGTCCGGCAAGTGTTTCAAATGAGTTGACTTTTTTTGCGATCGTGATTATCGTTTTATCGTTTAGTCCCTGTTAGGTAAAAGGTAGCAATAATTTTGATGGTGTAGTGCTCATTGCACCAAACGAACAACAGTTAAAATAAATGTCACATATAACCAATACGTTTTTGTAACTATGGAAAATGACAACTACTGGATTACCATAACCTATCTAAGCAATAATATAGCAATAATATAGTCATAGTGTAAGTATTCACACGTTTCTAATCGATCCGAACTTGAAGGTGCGACATCAGTGGACGAAAGCCACTTAACGTAAACCTAGCGCAACACTTTTGAAAGAAATAGATTCCGGACCAGACCATGATCACCGAGGCGGATTTTAAGAGAGAGAGAGAGACGTCCGGCAAGTGTTTCAAATGAGTTGACTTTTTTTGCGATCGTGATTATCGTTTTATCGTTTAGTCCCTGTTAGGTAAAAGGTAGCAATAATTTTGACAGTGACGCGAAAACGAAGCGTAATCCAGATACCGTGATAGACTGGGTATGCTTAGACAGGTTAGGGTAATCCATATACCGTGATAGAGTGGGCATGCTTAGACAGGTTAGGGTAATCCAGATACTGCGATAGAGTGCGTATGCTTAGACAGGTTAGGGTAATCCAGATACCGTGATAGAGTGGGCATGCTTAGACAGGTTAGGGTAATCCAGATACTGCGATAGAGTGGGTATGCTTAGACAGGTTAGGGTAATCCAGATACCGTGATAGAGTAGGTATGCTTAGACATGTTAGGGTAATTCAGATACCGTGATAGAGTGGGTATGCTTAGACAGGTTAGGGTAATCCAGATACTGTGATAGAGTAGGTATGCTTAGACAGGTTAGGGTAATCCAGTAGCCGTGATAGAGTGGGTATGCTTATACAGGTTAGGGTAATCCAGATACCGTGATAGACTGGGTATGCTTAGACAGGTTAGGGTAATCCAGATACCGTGATAGACTGGGTATGCTTAGATAGGTTATGGTAATCCAGTAGTTGTCATTTTCCATAGTTACAAAAACGTATTGGTTATATGTGACATTTATTTTAACTGTTGTTCGTTTGGTGCAATGAGCACTACACCATCAGCAAAACAATTAACCATTAATAAATACTTCTCAACTCATCCAACAGATTCACTAAATGTATAATTAGAAAAAATGTTGGCGCCAAAACACAACCTTGTCTGAGGCTTTAAAGTGCAATGCCCACCCTCACGTTTCCCGTTTTAGATCTGTGTCCCACTGAAATGGGCAGTTATTGATTTTTTTTTGCTGAAAATGATTACTCGTATCCAAGTAATTTTGTGATATTTCTCGTGTTGTAGCCACGCCCACCTATCCTGAAACGGTCGACTGTTTCCGACTCTCGCCGAAAGTGCGCCACCAAATGACAAACATGTGAGAGGAAGTCATACCCCCGAGCCGTAATAACACTGGTCATTCAGTATAGTTTTAAACGATATACATTTTACGGTCGGCCTTTTATATCTTTTTTTTTGTCTATTTTTTTTTTTTTTTTTTTTTTGAGAGAGAGTTTTTAGTTGTTGTGTTGTGGGCAGTTGCAGTGAAACATATAGTCATAGTGTAAGTATTCACACGTTTCTAATCGATCCGAACTTGAAGGTGCGACATCAGTGGACGAAAGCCACTTAACGTAAACCTAGCGCAACACTTTTGAAAGAAATAGATTCCGGACCAGACCATGATCACCGAGGCGGATTTTAAGAGAGAGAGAGAGACGTCCGGCAAGTGTTTCAAATGAGTTGACTTTTTTTGCGATCGTGATTATCGTTTTATCGTTTAGTCCCTGTTAGGTAAAAGGTAGCAATAATTTTGACAGTGACGCGAAAACGAAGCGTCGGACAAACTGGAAATTACACAGCTCTTACACACTTCTAATTGTTTTCATTTTCGAAGGCTGAAAGTTTCTGAATTGTTTGGTGATTGGTGTTGAATGTCGAATTCACACCTCTGTTCTTTTTTTACCTCCATGCTTGCAGCTTGATCTGCGTAATAATTTATGAAATAAGAATTCGGGCTTGGTCAATGTGTTTCCACCAAATGAAGTTTTAATGTGATGTTATAATTATGACAATCACGTAATGGATCACTCTAACTCGAATCATAGAGCTTAGCTCCATGCTCGAATCCACTCTGAATTTATCTGTATGTGTGTCGATCTCGATTACCAGTATTTTTGTTATCCAATTAAACGCCGCTTTTAACGCACTTGCCCTCGTCGTGACCCGACGCGTTCACCTATTTCAACAAAAAGTCAATTTATTTCCACGCGGCTGTCATTTATTTAGTAACTGTGATGTGTCGTTTTTTTAATTATTTTATATTGATCACTATAGTCTAATGTTTAGAATGTCAGAATATGTTCTCTTTTATTTTAATTTTGAAAGTTTTACTCAGACGATCGATGAAATACAACAGTGTAGTGACGTGCCTAGTAACCTGCTAAATAACGAGATAATTCCGACGTCAAATTCTATTTTGTTCAGCGACAGTGTACAAACGTGTGCTGGTGTCGGTGACGATCACGGTGACCAGCTACACCAGAACGGACATAAAAAAGTTTTATGGAACGCCACAAATTTCCATTCTTCCATAGTGCATACCATATCCCTTTCCGTCAAATGCTGTCATAGACTTTCCTGGAGGAAGTCAATATATATTTTTTAATCGTGTAACACGCCTGGTCAAAAATTGAAAGTTTTACCAGCGTCCCAGGGAATTGCCATTGAGACACGAACGGTGTATTCTCTGTTACAATTGGTTGCCTAACACTTAAAAATAAACAATACAGTGGAGTTCGTTATAGGTCACAAAATAATAGAAGGCATGGTACGGGTACTAAACCGGGGCTGAGCGATTCATATGTAAAACCGATAGTAATAGAATAAGGATAATCACATAGTTTGGCCATCCAACATGGCGGAGTGACCGCGTCATATCCATGCATCACGACACGACACGATTTCAATCAAAGACACATATAATTCATTAACGACACCTCGACTTGTCGAGCAAGCGTGCCGAGGCAGTACCTGTAGATGCGGTTATTAGTAGCTACGTCACAATTCGGGTCTTTCGTAAGTGTCGGTTTGATAAGCTTCACATTAGATATCGGACGGAAGGTTTTGTCGCTTGGTGATAATCGACAAAAAATTGTGAATATTGGTTGTAATTGTAGTGCACTAGAAAGGTAAGATATTTAATGAACTTTAAATGTGTTTCCAGTCCCGCGATAGCTACCATATACCGCGTGCATACCAGATTGACCATAACATTTAGTCATCCATGAGTGTCCCACAAACAACGCTGGACTTCAAGTCACATTCGCCACAATTCGATTAGCCCCATAGATAAATGCAACCAACAAGTAAATTCGACCCACGGGTCGATTCTCGAGTTTACCTGGAATGAATATTACCAAACAAAGGGTACTTCGTGTATAAGTATTTGTGTTCCCGACATTATTTGTGGACTAGGTTTACTGCGTCATGCCGTCGTGGCGTGAAAGCCACCACCCCATTACATACATAATACATACATATGACACAGGTATTCCAGATAGTTCGACGAATGCAAGAAATACCTTAGTGAGAATATAATTACGAGTACACTTCTAGGGGTTGGCCATTAGGAACACTGGTTGGAACTGCAGTGCAACATATATTTTTACATTCTCTCATTTTTTTCACGACGCTGAACATTTGTTTTTCACTTTCATGTGTGGATTTGTAAATTTCTCTGTAGATGTTTATGACACTGCACCTAGGCTATGGTTATTTTTTTTAATATTTTTTGCCTTTTTAAAAATCAGATTATTGCTTTGTATGGACGTCGACATTACCTTATCGTATAGCTTTTTCACATTGTCAGCGTCGAAGACACAATAATTCTTTTTTACTTTAAAATGACATATTTTTGGCAGGTATCGAAATAAAGACTACGGAGATCACCAACATGGCACATTTAATACTCGTATTGTCTTTAGTGTGGTGTCTCACTGAAGCCCAGAATCTTACATCATGCGTAGAGCCAACGAAGGGCACTGTTAGCGGTGAAGCGGTAATAGGAGTGTTGTTTCCATTCCATAAGCCATCGGCTGACGGTCAGTCATGTACCAGCGACGTCGACCCTGGTGCTATTCAAATATTGGAAGCAGTGAAGTTTACTCTAGAGCGCCGTAATAGTCTAAACCCAATTTCAGGACTACATGTCGGTAAGCTATCCACATGGTTCAGCTACATTTTGTCTATTTAGTTATTTCGAATATACACAATTACCAAGCTGATTTTACGTCCTTGGTTAAATATATGAATTCATAACATTGGTTTGAAGAATCCTTTAAGCTAAATCCATTAATTAACATAAAGTGCATAGTATTATTTTATTATCAAATGTCATAAAAATGAAACTAACAAATCGAAAAATTGTCACACAAAACAAACGCCAGAAGATCGTTTTCGGCTGACAGATTGTGTACCTCGTCGATGACTCATCTTGTGTCGGTCTTTAGAGTGTGACGGTATTTTAGTCATTTCTTATACATTCAGTGAAGTTGTTGTTTCTAGATATTAGGATTTTATCGACACAGAAGATCTGTAGTCCCTTGCGTAACACAAAAGTGCGACGCCAAACGATATCGCAAATAATCGGTGAAAGTACGTTAATTTCACATATCGCACCATCGAAACTACCACATATGTTTATTAAACTCTCACCAGGGCGAACATCGTGACAGTCGTGACACTGCCTGACCCAAATACAAATGCTAACATAATCGCTGTTCCACTTTGTAAAATCATTGAGTTACATGATACAATCTACTTCCACCTGTGTATGTGGCTTCATCAACAGACTATGCTAAAAACAAATCAAAACAACGCGTTATTGCAGAGGAAGATCAGGAACTATAATAAACTATACGCTTATAGCCTGTATAGTGAATTATTGGCTGGTATATAGTGTATAAATATAGAAAATGGAATATGAGAAAACTGGAGAACAAACAGACGAAAAAAAATCATTAAAAATATCAATTTGGACAATATTATTTGCTCTTTCAAATTTCGCCAACGCCTTACCATCACTTTACTGTAATTAATAGAATAACTCTATTTACGAATTCTGAGCTTAATTATTCAGTTAGCCTCGTGTTCTGGTTAGTAACCAGGCTTGTGATTGGTGATTGAAAATGTTGAATATACCACGCCTCCAACTGTGCTGGTTCGAAAAATTTGAAATCGCTGGAGCTTTCATTCCTTGTCTATTTGCACACATATACTGAATGCTTGCAGTATTTTAATACAACATTAATTTTATTTTACTTGAGATTCAGTATGTGCCATAATTTCAAGCTAAGATATATGTAAAAGTGTGTATGTGGGTGCAACCACCAAACTGCTTTTATGAAAATGATGTTTTCTATATTGCATGTTTTTTTTAATTTGGGTGATAATTTACCAATCATAAAACGATACTTTACCCAGAATAATTGTGGCATTGACGACATTCTATGTAGTGACTATTATACATATTAAAATCCTGAAATCATGTGCAAATATTTTACAGAGATGCATGATCCATGAACACGCCAGGACCACGTTCAGTCAAATTATATTCTTAATTTATTTTAGTTTTAAAGATAGAAAACTTGCTCACTAATCCACCAACCACTTTGGTTTTGTGTAAGCAGATGACCTACAATTCGAATATTACCCTTTATTCTATCACCACCAAATGCTAGTAAAATTGCCCAAATACTTCTGAAACTTGCTGTAAATAAATGTAACTCGGTCACCTGAGTCGAACTTACTTGTTTTGAATACATAAGAAGTGCCCAGAGGATGCAAGAGTCAGTTCGGTGCGTACAACAGCCATCAGTATTTACATAAAACTTGTGTAAATAATGTCAATAAAAGGCGTTCACGCATTTGTGTAACGCTTAGACTACTTATCTCTACACAATTACAAAACACGTGAGAGAAAGAAACATTAATTTTTAACATATGAAAAATCATCGCAATAATTCCATAAACTTGAAATTCACAAATCACCTGACAAATTATAATCTTTTCAAGTATTATTCATTGCAGAGAGTGAGAAAGTGCTTATAAATCATCTTTGACCCATAACAAAGGAAATTTTACACGCGTATACGTAGCATGGGACCCATACGACGCGTCGTGTATACTATAAATAACACTGGTATTTGATGTATACTTGCAGTTGTTGAATACAGTGAATAATTATAAATTAAATACTATATATAATTACATATTTCTATACCAGGGTTTGAAGCATGGGATAGCTGCGGTCTTGAGTCAGTTGCTATGGATCGCTCTTTGCGGTATCTTAACGACAAAATCAAAATGATAGACGCACAGGGAAGTGTTTGTCCCAATAGCAAACTTCGGATTGGTAAGAAATTTTTCATTTGTATATTTAGTTATAATTACCCCTTGAAATCTACCGTATATTTAGTTATAATTACCCCTTGAAATCCACCGTATATTTAGTTATAATTACCCCTTGAAATCTACTTATTTTCCAATGTTTATCATTATTCCATTATTTCGATCACACCGGCTAAAAATAGTATTATGCATCGTGACGGTTACCTTGTGTATGTCAGCTCATTCGGAAATGACGTCACATGCGCATATGAAATGTCTATTTAGTTTCCATAAACCCATCCAAAAAACCCGATGTTATATAATAGTCAGATCTTTTACACTAGATTTCACAAAACTCAGATCTACATTAATATATATTGATATTATTGATATTAACAATCCTGTTACGTTCAGTTGACCATAAATTATGTATTCACTACGCGACTTCGTGTCAAATAAAACATTCTATAGTATAAAATGTAATTCTAGCGATTTCAGTTCTGTTCAAATGTCTGTTTGTGTGGATAGTTACAATGCAAAAGTTTATTTTAAGGAATGTTGGCTGACAGAGAGAGCGATACAACCAGATCAGTTGCGAATATCTTAAATGATGTGTCGGTACCTCAAATCAGTTATGGTGCAACGGCTACTGACTTCGCTGATGAAACACGATATCCTTATCTCTTCCGTACTGTGCCATCGGACATGGAGGAAGCCAAGGTAAGTGAACGGGATTGTGTTTTGGGTTCGATTTGACACTTTCAAAAGTAAATTCATCGCCACATACACACTCCCGTATTTTATTTTATTGAAAAAAAACACTAAAAATTATGCAGTTATTACCCAAGTTATTTATCAACAGCAAAACAATTTATCGTATATTGTGCGACATTAGTATGTTAACTCACTGTGACACACAATGCTTTTAAAACACACTTGGGCATATGAAGTCAAACAAATGTTGTATTTATGTAATTATCACCATGGTGATTAGGATTTACAACAACTTTGAAGTATCCATATCTTTATGAAGTTAAATTTAAAATTTACATTTATATTTTGATTTAATTTTTTCTGTATTCTTAACGGTATGGTAAAATCTCATTCCTGATACATTAACTGTAATATAGAACTTGAAGTTTAAAAACAAACTCATATCCATAACGATACGTTACATTTGTTATTACTCTTGTCCATCGTATTATTGTTGTGACGTCTGAGTGGCTCCCGTCATGCATTGCGCATAGAAACGGACGTATATGTTTACTGTGTGATTCACAAGATATTGAAGACGAACATCTTTTTGTTTTAATTTGTCCATTCTTCGACACTTTCAGAAGTAAATTCAATTTAATTCATCGCAATCTATTATTATAACTCCCCCCATCGCCTTCAAGTTGAAATAAGAAATGACTTAAGGTAGTAGCCTACTCATAAATTAAAAAAACCCAGAATTTATTCATTTTGTAATAAAATGTACTCCCAAGGCAATATAAGGATATTGACCTAAAAAAAGTTGGGGGTCACCAGCCTTTTTTCCAGAAAATGATGGTTGTATTTTAGTGGAAAGTCGCCATTTTGACACTATTATAAAACTTTTACCATAGGTTTCTATGGCAGAGATATTATGCAATATCTCAAAATTTAGCCTGGTGACATAGGCTGAAAAAATCATATATTGTTAATGATGGAGTACTTGTTGTTCTGAATTATTTAAAAAATCTGGGTTTTGAAAGGTGTCAAAAAATGCAATTTTTCTTTAACATTGTGTTCTATGGAATCGTTCCATCTAAAAATAGCAATTTTCAAGAAATATTAGGACACGTTTCTCAAAAAGAATAACTGTAACACACAAAATAATGCTACAGTGTATTTCATTGTATCATGAGACATTAGCTTCATGTTTGTACATAATAAACTAATGAACATTGTCATGCGATTTGTGACCAATTTTGTCCAAAATTATGACTAGGCTTCTACCTTAAACAAGGATCAGTTTGACCATTGCTATGTTTGGCTTATGTATTACGTTTTTTATATTTTGTCCCACAGGACATGTATTTTAATAGAGACATGGTGTGTTCAATTCCGGGGGGGGGGGTCTCTAGCGGGAAACTTAGAAACAACTTGGATGCGAGGCACCCAAGGGGTCTGTAAATTATGTTTCAAAATGGGGCAAAGTATCTATTTTGTCGGAGATCAAAGGAATCGTATTTTTGTTGTGTTGATATAATGTAGGATAAATGGAAATGATAGATATAATTTACTATGAATTTGAACTATTACTGTATGAACCATAATAGTGTTGTGTCAATAAATTATAAATGAGGGTGTTCAATTTACGTGGTGGTTTATAATTCTTGAACTGAAATGTGTGTTACACGAAAATAATGCCACCGGCATAATTCATAGAGATTGCGCAATGAGTGAAATTACACAATCCACTACGTAAACTGGCCAAGTCGTGACAATGTTATTGTTTTATATGGTAATTTCGCATCGGACCAAGATTCAAGGAAGAATTACAAAATTGCGACGGCTGGGCCAATCTGGCTACTATGGCCACAAATAAAACAAGTCGTTATAATCTCAACAAATATTTTTATTAATATTTTTAATTTTAAAAAATGCAGGCAATAGTGGAAGTACTGAAAAGACTTGGCTGGGTTTACATTGATATTATTTACACGAACGACGAGGCCCATATCAGAGAGGTGGACGCTTTCAAAGAAGTAGCCAGCGACGCTGGAATATGTGTGGCCAGTCACCCTGAAGGGGAGATTAATATTAAAGTAGGTACCGCATCGTCTGCGGGAGATGTTTTCAACAGTATTTTGAACGATGTAAAATCTGATGCAATAGTAGCCTACGTAACTGTAGACCACGGAGTTGGTCTTTTAAAAGCAGCGGAAACTAAATTGCAACAAGGCTGGGAGAAACAGTGGTTGTTTTCAGCTGAGGGAATGGCCGATCCAGACAGCCTTGTTCAAGAAGTGTCGGATGTTACACGCGGTATTATGGGAGTTATAGCTTCGACATTCACAAACGAAGTCAATGATTTTATGACGTATTTTAGAAGTATAAAGCACAATGATCACGACGAAGAAGCCGATCCATGGTTCTCAGAATTTGTGGAGAAAACCTATGGATGTCAAACCGGACAAGCAGCGTGCGATAGCACTCAACAGCACGATTCTGACCAAAATCGTTTTGTATCACCGGTGATGAATGCAGTGTCAGTGTTCTACCGTATAATAAAACTGCTTCACGACTCCAAATGCCAGCCAAACTTCAGTGGGATATGTCAGAATATGTTCAACGCCGCACCTAATGAATACCTGTCACTATTACAGTCTTTCAACTTAAATGCCGATGAAACCGACAGCGGGGAGTCTATTACTTTCAACCAACACGGTGACATTAAGGCGGCTTTCGACATAGCAAATCATGACGGAACCGAATTCAATCTGGTGAGTATGTGGTTATGATTACGATAGCAACGACGTATGCTAATAATCTACAGTAATTAGTCCCCGTTCGGACGAAGTCCAAAAACGTGGACTATTAATTTGGGTTCGTTCTGTCCGCCCGTCCGTCCGTACGTCCGGAGCTATATCTCGGACACCCATTAACGGATTTCATTCAAACTTTACATGAAGACAATACATAATGTCTTACATATGAGTGTCAAGTTACTTTATGATCGGAAAAAAATGACCGACTGGCGGCCATTTTGGATGTTAAATTTGCTG